TTTAGTCCAATCGTATCTGAATTTGAATGCAGTATTAAAATTTTACGTTTCAGTTAGTGTTGGTAATGGCTAAAGTAGCTTCAGCAAATTTAGAATAATAAAAATTAGTGTTAGATCTTCACGTTATTAAGAAAAACTTTCAAATATGGTCATTCTATGATAATATTTTTTTAAACCGATTTCTTACGTCAGCATAGCTTTTCGTTTAAGCATTATTTTGTTTCAAACATTCCACGAAGCTATGGAATTTTGTGATCAAGTAGAATTTAAGCAACTTGTTAATGATTTTGCTTCGTTAAAAGAAAAACTGAGGTATGAAAAATGTTTTAAAAAAGAAACTATGATACTTTTATATTAGTTACATTAGTATTTAAACTATTTTAGTGTTATTTTTCATTTATCAGGAAAGAATTATTCAATTTCAAAACCGTTAATCATTTTAGTTTCATTTTTCTAAGTATGTAAAGCTATGATTTAAGATTTTTTTTATTTGAAATATAATAATGAATGAACTATGCATGTAAAAATGTACAGGTATAGTTAGGCGTGCGTAGTTTTGATGAAAGTGTTGTCTGGCCTCTTGTTTTACGTATAAGGACGTGTATTTACCTATTCGTCTCAGGGGAAAGAAATCTGTAGGCACGGTTTTACGAAACCATTACAGTTAAATTGTGCCTTCGCCAAGACTCGAACCAAGGATCTTCCAAATGTTAGCTGGACATGCTAACCATTTATATCATAAGAATAAGCATTGGGGAAATGCATACTTTTATATTTTAAAAGTTTAATGTACCTTAATTTTTAAAAACGAGTTTAATTTTCACATTGGTAGTAAATGTTTTACAAAAAACAATTGGAATAATAATTATAGCAGTTGGCTCTTACTATCTGTCTCTGAAATTTAATTAATAACATTAAAAGTTAGTTATGACCATTTGTCTTTTAAATTTAATATTTTAGTTGTTGAACTTTCAGTTGTATGACAGAATGTGAAGAAGGAATAAAAACTATTATTCTATACTTCGGTATTAATCTTAAAAGAAAAAATTGTGCTAAACAATAAGCAACATTTTTTAAGGACGTTTCAATGGCAAAATTATAAAGAAAATTTATTAGCCATGTTTCTTTTCTGAAAGGACATGCTATAGAATTTAAATGAAGCAAAAAAGAGAAAAAATATTTCTAGTACCGAAGATTTAAGAGATAACTACAGTGCCATATGATAAATCACTGCTCTATGTATTCATCACAAACGAAATGAAACCTAATTGGGACAAACTGTATTATTTACGTATCCCTCATGAATTTTAAAAGTCTTGCTTCTCTCTGTTCGCAGTCACGCGTTGTGAAATAAGAAGCTTGTATTTTAACCATAATAAGTATGATTTCTTTCTTGAAACTAATATATTCGTCCATCGATTTTAATAAGGTTCTAAGGATTTCTTTGCAACGCTCAAATAAACAGTAAAACTTAAAATTTGTGTTTTAATGTCTTCGAAAAAGATAATTAGTATTATTCTATTTACCATCTTGTAAATTTATCTTTTGAAAAAAACTGTAAATTCGCATAAAGTGTTCGATTATTCGACCTAGAGAAATGAAGCTTATCTTTTAAATGTGAAGCTTTGATATTAGATTTCAACTAACAAAAGTTTGAGGAAATTACATGACTCTAAATATAATTATTTTTTTTAAACTCTAGAAATTTACACGGAAAAGAAAATAACCTTAGGTAAATTTCTTTGAGGATTTATTATTATTGCTGTGACTTATTTCACTCGTCTGACCTAATCAGATTATTTGTTAAAGTAAATAATTGGAAATGGCACAGAACGTGAAGGTTATATGCATAAAAGGATGATAATATCCTTGGAGGAGGTTTCTTGGCTTGTATTCAAGTCTCACATGCAGAAATCACCAGAAATCACCGCGGTTTTAACACAGGTAGAACTATCAATATTCAGCGGTCTTAACTATCTCTCTTGTATGGCCCATATTTGGCATGTACATGACAAAACATTGTATTAAAACGAATGGAATAAGGACATACCTACACTGAGGAGCCAAAACATTATGTCCATCCCCGCATTTTTCAATGAACTTGTCTGGATGACTTGGAGGGCACGACATTAATGGGAATGGTATTAACTGCTGTTGGATAAACTAAGGAATCATTCTTGCACTTACTTTTGCGAGTGACGAGAAAGGCTGCTGATTTAAGCGAATTTGATAGAGGGCAGATTGTAATGGCCCGAAGACTCGGAACGATATTCGAAACTGCGTGACTATGGTAGGATGTTTACGATTTGTCGCTGTTAGAATTTATACAAAGTGGATAAATGACGGTGAAACCAGCAGTAGACGCCAAGGTGTTGGACATCAACTGCTCATCAATGAAAAAGGACGTCGGAAACTCCAGATAAATTGGCTCGCAAATTGGCCCAGATAGTGGCTTCGCTGACAGCTGACACTCTGGGATATGGGATTACGTAGCAGACATCAGACACGTGTGCCTCTGTTGACCAAGCGTCATTGTCAACTACACCTACAGTGGACACAGGAACATCGAGACTGGACCATGGAATAAGTGGAAGACAGTTGCCTGGTTGGATGAATCACGATTTCTCATTCATGACGTCGATGGTTGCGTCAGGGTACGTCGTTATCTAGGCGAACAATTGCTCTTCCTCTGTACAGCAGGTCATACACAGGCTGGTGGTAGTTGCGGTATTATACTTTGGGGGACGTTCTCATGGGTGGCTCCGAGACCCTTAGTTGTGATGGAACAGACCATAAAATCTTCGGTCTATCTTGATCAGTTGCACCCTTACATGTCTTTTGGTTTCCTAACTGGAAATGGGATCTCCCGGCAGGACAACGCCCCATGTCACAAGGCTCGAATAGTGTTGGAGTGGTTCCAGCAACGTAAGGATGAATTGCATTAATGTCCCGGCCACCTAACTCGCTGGATCGTAACCCGGTAGAACACATTTGGGATGTCATGGAGCGGCAGCTCAGCGCTCAAGCACCGCCGGAATGTCAGAATATCTCGACTTCGCGTGACCCCTGCTTAGACATTCGGTCTAACCTGCCTCCAATCATCTACCAAGAACATGTTGCAGCCATGCCAAGGCGAGTTGCAGTTGTTTTGCAGGCCAGAGGTCGCGCAACACATTATTGAGTATTCGGTCATAATGGTTTGGCTCTTCAGTGTATAGCCATGGTAAAATTAGCGCTATTTCAAGACTGAGTTTTTCCCAGAGTTCAAACTGTAAAGGTTTAAGAGTCTTCCTTTTTTTTTTCAAAAACTTCGTTCAAACAGTATTACTTACTTTTCACGTTTTGATTTCCCTGTTTGTATAATTTAAAAAAGAAATGCTAAAACTAAGATTGGACATTTGAAATCTGAACTGACTGAGTAAAGACTTAGTTTTTATTATTCAACAAGTACTATTTTTATTTGTGAAGAGGAAGCAGAATAGGATCTAATCCTTCCGTTTGCTAAAGTGGAAAAACTTTGATAATGCAAGCAGCTGTTTAGTGGCCTTTTAAACAGGTGAGATATGATTATTTTAAGATACAATACGCAAGGTCATTCTCACTTTATGGAAATGATTTTCTATTTAAAATATCTTGTCAGCACTTAGAGATAAATATTTGGGCTTTTCTGATAAAATCGCTCTGTAATTGTTCTGTTTTGATTGTAAAAAATAATTTATTTTGGAACTGATTCGTTTGTTACGTAAATGCACTTTTAAGAGAAAATCTTCCGTATCAGTCCATTGTAAATTGGTGTCATAAATAGAGCTTATAGCCTTTCAAAGGAAGGTATTTTAATATACTTAATTTGAAAGAGATAATGGTCCCAAAATGCACACCAAGAGTGTTCAAACGTTGGTAAATATCAAGAAAGGGAAATCTCAGATCTTAAAATTAAATCCACCGACTGGAAGATACATTGCAGCGGAAATGGAAATGTCATTTGTAAGTGCAGTTAAATCATTCATGTCATCTATAAATGTCATTTGTTAATGTAGTAAAATCATGTATAAAAATTTGAAGTTAAAAATATGTCTAAACCTAGATTTCATCTGCTTTTGCCAAAGCATATTGAGAAAGGAATAGAAATTGCAGAAAATTATATGAAAAACACCTAGATATTGTTAGAACTAAAATCTGCGGTTGTATTCGATGATGAAAGTTAACAGTCTGTGCCCCTCTAAAAAGGTCAATTTTCTGCTTACGAAATGGCTTTTTTAATGCTTAGAAAAGCTTCGAAGCGAATTTATAACGGTTTCAAGATTTTATTACAAAGGTAAATTAAATCTAAAAAAAGTCTTAATTAATTCTGAAATGAATTGACTGCGTTCTCAGCAAAATATTTGAGTAACAATTTTTGAAGAAGAAATTCCACAATTGTATGGAAACTACAATAAAGTTGAATTTCATTTGTAGAGGTCTCTAGTCACATGTCTTAGTCAACTGCCATATATTATGCAAAGAAAGAACCAGAAACAGGAATAAAATGTATCTCATTTAATAATATACCTGTAAAATCACCTGATGATTCTCCTATGGACTTTTGCAGTTTTCGTTTGTTTAAACGAGCCATAGGAAAACGGTATCCAAGAATTGTGAACGGACTTTGGGAATGACGATCCAAGCTGAGTGGGCTAAAAGTGACGTGACGTTGCTAAAAGAAGTTTGACTTTTATTAGAAAATTCAAGCTAAAGCCAAGAATTGATGCTATTAGATAAAATAAAATCGACACAAGAAATACTGCCTGTATGCCTAAAATTAATTACCAATATCGTTTTGCACAAAATACACCTTTTCCCTACTTCTGTAATTACGAGTGTTAAGGAGTGTGTCTGCAACATACATTTACCATATTTTTCGGACGCGGATTTATGGACTTATGCAGATTACAATTCCAAGGAACTTCACATTCTGAGGACCCCCGAATGAATAGCTGATTTCTAATATACAATAAACGTACCACCTGTCTTAAGATGGAAATCTCGCTGGAAGTTCAAATGTGATTGGTCTTCCTCTTCATAATTCTGCCATTGATTAGATGTCAATTCAGAAAACGAACAGTTTTGCCACCGGAAGAGTTCTGTAAAAATATTTTTATTTATAAGAAAGAACAAAACCTTAAGAATAATACATTTTGTATATCAGAAACACCCAAAAAAGAGCCTTTTCATGTAACTGATTTTAACACTAATCTCTAGATAACGACAAATAAGATGAAAATTCATCAGTTGCAAAAGAAAGGAAAATACTTTGAGGGGTTGTAAAAATTTTGAAGCGAATTTTTTTGGGATTAAATGAATTAGTATAACTTTTAGTCTATAACAGCAGCAAAGGTATACATTTTTAGAAGAAAAACTGAAAGGAATATCAAATATATGGACGAGGAGAAAAAAGATTTTGAAGATTAAAACAATCATGTCGAATAGTTGGAATAGTAAAGTTAATTAATTATTAGTAAAATAAAGCCTTAGGTGTAGTTATTCTGAAACAATGGAAACGATATTTGATATAAAGATTGCCTGTTCCCTCCAAAGAAAAACATTCATTGTAGAAAAAAAACTTTCCTATTTTGCGTACCTTCTTGTTAATAAAACTATTTAGAAGAAGAATTTGAGAGAACAAGCATTAGGGTTTACTACTCCACTTTCCAGCCGTAAATTATTTGCGAATAAATTCATTAAATTCATGAATAAATTCTGGAATAAAAGCTAAACAACATTTTGAGTTAAATGTAAACCGAGAGATACTGCATAAATTATAAAAATTTTAATGTGCCTCTCTTAAACAAACAATGTGATAATCATTTCATGTTTCTGTATATAATGGCTGCTTTCTGAATGAAGAGCGGCACCGATGCTTTCATACTCATAAATACTACCTCTGACGAAGGAATTTATATCTGACTTCTGAGTAACGACATGCTTTTTATTCAGAGAACTATATAAGCATTGAGCGTCATTTTTTACTCTTGAATTATCTAACTTTCGCAATCTTGTAAGTGAGTTTCTTTCACATTTTAATTTTGCAATTACATAGCCATAAATCGAGTCACAATCTAGCTGTTACTTCTCCAAAAAGCAGAAATATTAGCTGCTTGCATAAAGTTTCTATTTTTAGTAAAATGATGGGATTAAAGTCATGTTTAACTTTTCACCAACGGCTGAAAGCATATACTCGGCGCACGCGAATATTTTTTCGAGGAAGGCTGCTGCATATACGCTTTCCATGCAGAACGTTTGAGTAAAAATATTAAATCGGCATTCCCTCTATTTGACGTAACATATTTCTTTATTTTCGGAATATGGATTATTTTATTTCAACTTATTTACTTTAAAATTTATTTTACCTTTCCCCCCCTACTTTTCTTTTCAATGAGAGCTAAGAACATGTTTCTGAAAAAAGAGAGGCTCAATTCTTCCTTCCAGAGCGGTGAGATGTAAATTTCCTTACAGGTATAGGTATTATTTTTTCCTAGGTTATTTTGTCAACTTTAAGTGAGATTTTGTTTTGATATTTGTTTTGATTATGTGGGTTAAAATATCTACGCTGCATTTTACATTCAGGTATTTTCTTTTCAATGTATAGTGAACATGTGATAGCTAGTGAAGACACATGTTGTTAGTCTATGAACGGAACGTTGAAATCGGCTTCGCAGTTTATAAATGGCATCAACAGATGAGACACATGTGCCCACGTTAAGCTGATTCCCCGATGCTTCTGAGCACGGGAAAAATATTCACTTTATTTTGAGAAAATGGGTTTGCCAACACGTTTACGCCAATTCACATGACAGGGACACGTCTCATTGCAAACATAGGATAAGTGTGAAAGGGGTACCGATTCAGACTGCATATCAAACTTATTCATTTCATTCAGATCATTTAGTAGGCTTGTACAGACATTAGGTATTTTTTGAAATCAAGAGCGGTGAAAAATGAGCAATGCCTTCGCCGGGAATCGAACCACGGACCTCTGGGCCCAGCGTGCTGACCACTACACTACGAAGCCATGCTAAGAAGATGGAAGCAATACCTTATATACTCCCCCTTTTATAAGGCGACTGGGGTTTACGGGACCGACTCGCCAAATCCTGGGTGTGAAAATTCATCACCCGCCACCTTTCTAGTTCAGGTGCCACTGTAGATACATTAGGTATTTTTTGGAAGCAAGAGAAGGGAAAAATGAGCAACGCCTTAGCCGGGAATCAAACCACGGACCTCTAGAATACGCGCCCAGCGTGCTGACCACTGCACTACGAAGGCATGCTAAGAAGGCTGAAGAAATACCTTATAAGCTAAAGAAGAAAATCATCTCTGTATAAATATAGTAAAAATTTCCAGAAGCCGGTTGCCAGTTTTATTAGTTCAATGCTGAACTCTCGACTATGTTTTTTCCTAGAATAAAGTTGATATTATCGATAGGGATCCTGATGTTATGGAAGAAATGCTGCGATTCATATATACAGGGAGATGTGTTAAATTGGAAAGTATGCCTAATAATTTGTTAGCTGTTGCTGATAAGGTGAGTGAATATATTTATGGTGTGATGATTGGAATATGCATATGCTATGCTGGAATTGATTTTGAACTAAAAAAAGTTTTGTAATACTGTGGAGATATCAAACTTATTCACGCAAGATTGTTAAGGAATAATCGGAAAACACAATTAATTTGCAAAAGATTCCATAGAGCTGAGACCCCCGTAAAAAGATATTTTTCCCAAAAGTTTTACATAAATTACTATCTGTTGTATATAAAATAGGGCTTAATAGTAATAATAATAAAATGAATTCCGATTTTCGACTTTCTTTCTGGGAAATACCTGTTACATTTTTCTTTCCTGAACACCGTACTGACATTCTTTTAGGTAACACAGCAAACCCTACTAAAGTGTATGCTATCATTATACTTAATTTACTCATACATTTAGCCAGCAGCTTGTGCACACCTTCCTTACCCCGTAATGGTTATTTTTAAAATTTTTCTCTACAATTTTTCTATAATTTTCTCTATAATTTCTGTTCATGCCATTTTACTAATTTCCTTCGAGTTACTGCATCACGAATGCTCTAGACTGATAGATTCCTAAGCCATTTTCAGATTTCGTGATTTTCTTCCTCTACACTTAATTTTGACTGACTTTTGGTTTCAAACCTTTAAGCACCAGAGAGAATTTGAACGGATACCAAGGTTGTTAATTTATTATTCGTAAAATCTTACTAATTTAAAATTGAGCTGCTCTTGGGGAATAATTTTACAGCTACAAGATTTGATAAGCTAAAATTAGGCCAAAAAGAAAAAAAAACCTTAGATTAGCGCAGATAATGAATAAAATCATCGATTTCTAACACAATTTGACATTAAGTTCCTCTTCTTTAGGAGAAAAAAATTATTTCTGCTCATAAAAGAGTTTTTGCTTCTCTAAGTAAGTGATTAATATATATTTTGTGGGTTGCACATACTAGGAAAAATATTTTTAAGCAATTTAATATTACCAATAAGTTCAAAAGGATTGGCTTTTGTTATTTACAGTGAAATACACAAGAGAGTGGCAAAAGAGCAGAGATGCCTTTATAGGGAAATTTCAAATGAAAAGTCATTCGAATTTATATCCTGCATAGAGAAAATTCCCAAACGTCTGATGCAACGAACCCATTTACTGGAATTTGAACTATGGCTGAACTATTAGTGTTTAAATGTCTTATTCATTAGGCCATTGGTAGGATAAAGTTCATAAGGAAGCTTAAACTACATTTAGAATACTTTAGTAAATTCATCGATACCTGAAATAAAATTCTATATATGTAAGATAACTCATCTGTCAGTCTGTCCTTATCCTTATATTAGTGTTACCGTTGTGATATTAATTAATAATATAAACTAATATTCAGATATAATTTGTACATTCATGACTATACCTAATCTTTTCCTATTTTTTCACAATATTATGCACTGCAATCCATTTCTGAGTTTTATAAAACTGTCACTAATCCTAATAGGCTAAAATCGCAATATATTCAATAAAATTGCATGTGACAGAAATAACATTATACAAAGGTACGTTGCTAAATGAGCAATTGTATCTGCAGATCAATAACAAAGTGATTTCAATGAAAAGAGTACATTATAATCATATGTAATTGCCCATTAGACGTCAGAGTTTAAAACGGTTTACTTTGGAAAACGTTTCTATTCATGACTGTCTTCAATGAAGTAAATATTAATAGCTTACCCTCGGATTCGAAATACTGTGGGTCATTCAATGGAAACTGCTGCGCTGCAGGATTCCCTACGACAGGGTGGAAGCATCCTTGCGTAAGTTCGCAATCAAGCAGTTTTTTGAAGTCCATTTCCCAATCACTTCGGTTTTGATCTGGTGATGCTGTGTATACTAATTCACCATAAATAATTTTGTTCTCTAGAAGAAGAAGCAAAAAATTATAATCATCACCTGGTTGCTAACAAATATCAGAAATATGAATAATTATTAATTATATAAATCTAAATATTATTTAACTATATGTCTTTAGTTCTTTTGGAATGAATTTATAAGAGTTGGACGTAAATTGAACTTTATTTCCCCCAAATAGAATATTAGGTAAAGGAGAATTTATATCCCAGAAGCATGAAAGGTGTACCAAAGCAAAGAAAATTTCCAAAACTTTTAAACGTTTTTAATTTTATTTGATGTTTTATCTACGAAGGAAAGTTTCAGGTTACTGAAACGAGAAAAATTTGCTTAACATCCAAAGAGACATTTAAATTTGTTTGCAAAACTGAAAAGAACATATTTGTATGACATTTAAACAGTATAAGACAGAGGTGTCCAAACTATTATTTTTCCCGGCCACATTGGAAGAAGATGAGGTATTTGGGGACATAAATTATTTTTTATGCCAGTGGCAGCTCTTGACCTCCAAAATAAATGCATCACACAACTGCGTATGTTTCATTGAAAATTTTCCGGTTTGCTCAAATCTGACTGCTGAAAGAAATTTTTGAATTTTATCCCTAGGAGTAAAATGCGCTGGTTTAACCGCGTTAATTCAAATTTGTTCAGTCATATAAGAGAGCATATATATAAAAAGTGAATCATACTATAATCGCTTAAATTCACTTGATTCATATGGCAAGCCGCTACTGCTGATGAAAAAAAAAGGTAAAAACATATTAAATAATATAAACTTCATTAACTGATGATTTTCTAATGCAGTGATAGCAAACCCAAATTAATTTAACATTATATACACAATAATTCATTATAAATTTTACTTATAATTATAATTGTAATAAGAAATAATAAAATTAATATGATATTTAGCCTTTAAGAAACTAATGCAAAAACGTGTGGTTCCATTGAATGAATGCAAATTTCAGGATGTTCTCAAGGTGTCCATTAGCTATTCTGATTCTAATTTTATTCTTTCTGTGATAGTTTAATTTTTGTCTTAGAGTACTAGTCTAATTTTACTCTTAGTGTATTTACCTAATTTTACACTTAGTTTCATCTAATGAGGACATGAATAAGGTATGACTGCACAACAAGGCATATTTATTTCTGGGTTAAGTATGATTTAGAAAAGCCTAACAAAGAGACGTTTGATCAAATTTTTCCCTGAAGTTTTTAAGTTGAATATTAGATTGCAGTTATGTGAATTCTGTTTGAAAATTTGCTGGTAGCATATCTATAACGGTATAAATAGAATGGAAAAATTACAAATATTTCGATTATTTTTCCGAAAGTCTTAAAATTTATTTTCAAATTCTTGCATCAAATCGAAAAATAAGTCTGCTTATTTATCACCTAAGTGTTTAGTTAACATGGCGTAATTTTCCAAAAGATATAACAAAATGTAGAAAATAATTCCTCACACAGCTCGAAGTAGGATCCAAGAACACCGCACTACTTTAAAAGCATCTTGAAGCCCTTGAATATGTAACATCGTTGATATCTATTATAACTTGAAGATGAGAAACAGAGGAAGCACTAATTTTGATGTCGTCATCTTGGCGATACGTAGGAACACAAACAATACATCAGAATAAAGATAATCACTTTGCGTACTTCCTCAGGGGAAGAAGTTCTTGATATTTTATTTTGCGTCGTACTCGCTTTTTCGGCAACGTCATTGGCACTTCAATTGGGCCGCGGGTTCGACTAGAGCAGACGACTCTAGTAACCTGGGGTAAAGAGGTATTAAAGTTAACATGTTTCTCTAAGAAATACTGACTTGGCACTACTCGCCCTGCTCCACTTTCTAATATCCACGGTATTAGGCGGAAAGCTGCAGACAGGCAGAAGAAAATTGCCCACATTCGTGACTTTAGTCAACTCACTCCCTGTCGCTTGTCCCACACTTACGAACGATAGTTTGAAATTTGAACACCTCCCAACCAATCGAACTGGGCCCATGGGGTCACCATTCCCGGTTCCCAGTCTCATGGAAGGGTGTGGCACAATATTCGTCTGATAGTTTGACTGGTCGTCAGAAATGCTACCTGCTAGTGCCACACGGGGTGCCGACTGCCCGATGGTATTGGGACTTACACTCAGGACTTATCCCTCTTCATCCTGTGTGGCACCCAGACGAATCCAGGGGCAGTTTCCTACTACCTCCACAGGTCACGGGGAACCGCCAAGCTCACTGATTATATACCCCCGTGACCGACACTATATACATACATATACTAGCCAGTAGCTTCGCAGAGTTCTCTGCGTCGACACTCGGGGGGGGGAATAGTAACCCGGGTGGCGCCCGGGTACGCGGTAATGTCCCTCTGCGACGGACAGCCCGAGCGACTGGCAGGTAGCAAATCAGTCAACGACCGGTGTCACGAAAGCGATGCGTCCTGCTCTCCAAGGTGCAAGGGCGGAAGTTGAACCTTTGTGCCTGGTTCCAAGGGGTGAAGGCACTCACGATGCGGATAAGTCTCGCGGTGTGAGAAATGTCCCATATCTAGTTACCATACTATAAGAGTCTCTTGGAGGCAAATTAAATTTTGTAACTGAAATTTACAACGTGAAACGTGAAAAAAGTGCTTTAGTTGATAAACTCCTACATTCTGATAATACTTAAATAACAAATTGATTTTTGAGCTGTAAATGCCTGAAGGTTTTCTGCATTGCTAATTGTTCTCCAATCTTTGAATCAAAAACTTTGAATCTTTGAGTCGAAAACTTCTGAACACTTTAATACAAATGAGAATAATCTCGCTTAACAGTAGTGATTTTTCATCACATAAAGTTTTCTTTTATGTAATGATACAGCGTCTGGTTTGCATTTCAGTCGTCACTTTTTGACATGTGTCGCATAATTTAAATGATTAGGAAAAGAATTAAAATGCTAAAGACAGGAAAATAATGAATGAAAGACTGCTCAAATGACGAAGGGAAAAAACAGACAAATGAGAGAAGGTTTAAATGAAAAAAGCAGATGAATGAAAGGGGTTTAAATGACAATAAATAAATAAATAAACGAAAAAGTGTTTAAATGTCAGAAGGAAGACAGAAAACTGATGAACGAAGGTGTGCTTAAATGAAGAAGAAAGAAAACTGATGAATGAAAGAGTGTTTAAATGAAAAAAAAAAAAAAAAGGTAAATGAAAGAGTATGTTGGCGTATTTTACGCCAACGAATCTCGCCAAATTATCGTCTCCTACGATTGAGGCAACAGACTTGAAGAAGAAATCTAACCGGTCTGACGTGAGCAATTACTTGTAACCGAAGCTCACAATTAAATTGTATTTTGCTTCACTGTAAATATTTGTATATGATGTTTTTCTAAATAAAATAATTAAAAACGAAGCAGTGAAGCTGGTCCGTCGATAAAAAATAACCTTTAAGAAAAATAAGTTTAGTCATCTGGCTCCGTCGACCCTGGAGCCTACTTCAGCGGTATGGATATATTAATGAAAAGCAAAGCATCCCTAAAGGGGAAAATAACTAGATTCGAAACTTTTGTGCAAACTGCAAATAATGATGTGGACTTAGTTGAACTTAAAGTTAAACTAAAAAACATTCAAGTTCTTCAAAAGAAAGTTGATGAACTACGAAGTGCGTGCTACGCACAAAGTGAAATGAAAGATGATGATCTGACCAAAATTGATGACGACTTAAACCAATGTGATGATCGTCTGGAAAAATTGGAGGTAAGAATTGAAATTCTCATTAATTCTTACAATAAGTTAAATTCTGCAAAAGCAGTAAATGTTACTGAAAGTAATGTAGATGAAAATTTTCAAATCAAAACTAAAATCCCAGCGTTAGTTTTGCCTGAATTTTCAGGAAAATATGAAGAATTTAGTTCATTTAAAACTCAATTTGATGATTTAATTAAAAATAATGTTCAGCTGAGTCATTCACAGAAATTATATTATCTAAGATCTTGTCTTACTAATGATGCTAAGCATTTAGGTAGTAACTTTGATAATTTTGAATCTCGCTATGATAATGAACGTCTGATTGTTGACATTCATGTGCAGAATATTTTAAATTTTGAAAAGATTCAATCCGAAAATGCGAAAGATATCAGAAGTATGATTGATTGTATACAAAAGAATTTACGCGCTTTGAAAGTATTAAAATATGAACAGAACAAGTTATGTGATGTTTTTCTAATAAATATTCTTCTTCAAAAACTAGATAAAGAATCTAGAAAAAATTTTGAATTATCTCACAAATCGAAAGTAGTTCCAACATTTGACGAGTTTATTAGATTTTTGGAACAGCGTGAATCAGTTTTGTTATCTATAAATAGAAATATTACACCCGGAAGTAGGGTTAATATAAATAAGAATTCCACTCCTTCCCATAAATCGAAGGTTCTTTTGACAAATGAAAATAAAAGTAAAAACTGTGTTGTGTGTAGGAGCCTTCATCCTATTTTCCTTTGCGATACATTCTTAAAGTTAAGTGTTCATGAAAGATTAAAATTAATTCGTTCACATAAACTCTGCGAATTATGTCTAAGGCAAAATCATAAGAAAAGTCAGTGTCTCTCGAAATTTAAATGCGCTTGCGGGGAAAAACACAATAAATTAATATGCATGGATAATGAAGGTCATTCGAAGACTCCTTGTCGCTCGGTGACGCCACTTAGACAAAACAAAAGTGAGCTCGATGCCGCCGCTGGAAAAGGTGACTCAGAATTGAAAGCGTTGAGTGTTTTAAGTAACAAGAATAAACAAAAAAGAAAAAGTGTACTTTTTTCTACTGCAGAGATTTATGTCCGTGACGCCAATAATCGAAGAATAAAAATCCGTGCGATTTTAGACAGCGCATCTAATACCGTATTTACGCGAATCTAATGCGCATCGTTTTTGGCCAAATGTAGTACTCAAAATTGGGGTGCGCATTAGATTCGATGGCGCATTAGATTCGAGTGCAAAGTTCGCCGATGACGTCAGCAGTTCGCCGAT